TGTCTGTTACCAAATACAACAGTGGAATGTGGTAAATGCCAAAACTTTCATGGTGTGATCAAAGTAAACTTTATTTTTTATTTTTGCACTGTAAACATGTTCACAGTTTTGTATGAATGTTATTTAAACACACACATACATATTATTTTCTTGCAATAAAACTACATAATAACAAGGAACAAGATAAATATTACTTCCAGGTCCTTTAAGGTTTGGAAAGCCTAGTGAATTGGTTATTTCAATCACAACATGAATGTTTCAGCATTCACTGAATGTCATTGTCATATTTCACGATCAATGGATGACATATAGATAGTTTGTATGCTTATTTAGATCTTTAATACAACTAAACACCCACTTTGACAGTACTCCGATTAAGGAGGAGGAAGAGCACATTACTACAGTTTCGTTTGGCTTTCAGATTATTGTGACCATTATTATATTGATCCTTTCTGTCAATGTAAGAGATAACCTCTTAGTTGTCATATTCTTTGCTTTTACTAATGATATCTACGAACATATTACACAGCTAATGCTATACAACCAATGTGGTTTTCGTTTTATTTCAATTTAGAGGAACGTGTCGTAAGAGTCATTTTCGTTAAAACCTCCATTCCTGCATAACGGCAGTTATGATGTGCTGCTATCTAAAGTTAATATAAACAATTATTGTTCACGTGACCCCATTTGTAAACACAAAAGCGGACGAGTATGAATTTGGATGATCAAAGCTCGACTTCACTTGTTTGTTTTTAACAACTTTGATCATAGGTAAGAACTTTTATGTTTACAAAAGTATGTATTTAGTGGAATTTCACTTTGTTAATTTCAAACAATGAGGAATCACAGGTAACCAAATATGCTGTAAAAGAAACATAGCTACTCTAGGCCTATTTGCGCTAGCAGTCCCTAATTTTGAAGTGATTGACTAGAGGGAAGGTAGATAGTCAACACCACCCACAACCAATTCTCGGGCTACTCTTTACGAACTGATTTTTAGAACGTGCGGTCGTTTTAGAATGAGAGATTCAGAATAAGACTCCTTTCCTCTGTGGAGTTGTCATACCTAACACCAGTAAATTTATATTTTCACCATAAACTTCGACCGTAATATACATCATTGTGCCACTCTAGTACTCACGTTCTTTTGTGCCAATGTTCCAACTAATGCACGTTAAATGAAGTGATGATTTAAGTTATTAAATGAATTTCTAAATGCAGTATCTATTTTAATGTGCATTTGCTAAATGCAGTATTTATTCTAAATTACAATTGTTACGAGTTAAATTGTGGTCATTTTACCTCGACTTGGGGATCCGCATTTTTAGATAAAACGGTCCCAATTAGAAGAACATATTTTTTTCAATAGAGAAAAAAATCTATGCCCGATCTTTGTTTTAACTAGAAATAACACTTATAATACCACAGGGTTCTTTTTAAAATATTGTTACTACAGCAGTAGTCACGTAACACTGGTAACACGTCGTGATATTCTAGAGATTAACGAAGAAACAAGATGTACGCTTTTTGTATATATAAGACCGGTAAGAAGTGACGGCAACAATGGAATTGAACTGCAGACAGAGATAGAGACGGACAATTGAGTCGAGCGCGTGAATCGTTCATTGTGAATTATATCGTTTGTTTAAGTTATAGCGTGACTGTGGAAATTAAGTGTATTGCAAAGTTGTATTGAGAAAGAATAAACTAGTTTTACTTAAGAAAGGACTTGTATCGCTAAAGTTTCTTCGGAAATAATTTTTACGGAAAATTATCAAACGAACACAGAGGCTTAACAAATTGGTGTCAGAAGTGTGGTGAAAAAGAAAAAAATGGAAACGAGAAGTAGCAAATCAAACTACAGCTTAGCAGATTTGATGGCAGCAATACAAGAACAACAAAAGAAACAAGAAGAACGAGAAAATAAACAAGAAACGAAACAAGAAGAGAGACAACAGCATTTGCAAGAAAACCTGCAACACTGGCAGCTCGAACAGCAAAATAAACAAGAAGAGAGATTACAGCAGTTGTTGGAGGAAAAAGAAAGAAACAAGAAGAATGAGAAAATAAACAAGAAGAGAGATTACAACAGCTGTTGGAGGAAAAAGAAAAGAAACAAGAAGAACGAGAAAATAAACAAGAAGAGAGATCTCTTCTTGCTTCTTTTCTATTTCCTCCAACAACTGCTGTAATCTCTCTTCTTGCTTCTTTTCTATTTCCTCCAACAACTGCTGTAATCTCTCTTCTTGTTTATTTTCTCGTTCTTATTGTTTCTTTTCTTTTTCCTCCAACAACTGCTGTTATACTTTCTTCTTGTTTATTTTCTTTCTCCTCCAGCCACTGCTGTAGTCTCTCTTCTTGTTCATTTTCTTTCTCCTCCAACCACTGCTGTAATCTCTCTTGTTTATTTTGCTGTTCGAGTTGCCACTGTTGCAAGTTATCTTGCCATTGCTTTAATCTCTCTTGTTTCTTTTCTTTTTCCTCCAACAACTGTTGTAATCTTCCAACAGTTGAGAGAAAGCCAGAGTACCCAAATGGAAAACATTAGTAAATTTCAAAGCGAATGAAATGCATTAAAGGGTGATTTATTGTCTTTTACACAAGGAGGATACATTAACCGTCGACTTAATCAGCCCCAGACAAAAGCAAGCCCCTTCCAGACCCCGCAGCTAAACCCTAATGCAGACATTTTCAGCCTGTTAGAAGTCAAATCCAAAATATGAATGTCAGCAAAAGGGTTGACCTATTTCGAAGAAAGCCACAGGAATTCGATGGGAAGGCACCGTGGG